AAGCATGAACAGAGGGATTGGTAGCTGTTTCTTACCCAAAACCGGAGCAAATCACCCCCACAAAGCAGGAGCAGCCGGCGGAAGGACAGAGCAAAGTAGGGCAGATCCAGATTTTCCAGCAGGGGGAAAGATTTCTGGGTTCCAAATCAGGTTCTTGGACAAAAAAGAAGGAGAAATTCCAAGCTTTCTCACCAATTTTTCAAAGCTGGTATCGGCGGCTTGGAGGGGGGATTTCAGGGGCTGCAGCGAGAAGAAGAAAAGCAGAATCGGGAAATGGCTGGGGAAGAAAAGAAGGAAAAAGAAAAAGAAAAGAAACTGATCCTTATCCAATTATTTTCCCTCTTTAAATCCCTCAACTTTTGAACATTTTACCATTAGGCCCCAAAACAGCATTTTTCCACAATCAAGTCCTTAACTTACACTTAAATATTCTCGAAAATTTGGGATATTACACTCACCCCTCCTAAAAAGGAGTTTTGTCCCCAAAACTCAAATTGAGGACCATATCAAGTGGTGAATGGCTTCACACAATCCAAGGCAAATGCCCCACTAACTTTCTATGAACAGACATAGCTTACTATGCTTCCATTGCGCCACTCAGATAACAAACCACAACTAATCTTAGAAAGCAGAACACTAACTACTTAACAGGATTTACCATGAAACAAGCTATTAGAGGCTGGGGTGATACGGAAAGCACAAGGAATAGAAATAAATCCTGCCAAGGCCACAAAAGAAATAGTTGTGGGGTTACGCTTTGAACCCAACACAAGACGAGTTGGCAAAGAATGGCATGGATGTACAGATGAGTACAACAAAACTTTGAACTCTATCAAAGACGGATAAGCATCCAATGGATATATGGATCATAAATGAATGAACGAGTGCATGGATGCCTTATACATTTTGCCACAAAACAAGGTTAACCAATAAACAAGCTCATGTTTAACAAAGCAACTGGAATCAAGAAACAGATTTTAGCAATTAACAAGAGTTAAAAGCTAGGACCATCAAAAGACATGTAAGACTCTCAAGAACTGCAACAAAATAAAATCAATGGAAACTATAAATGCTTGGAAGAATACTGGAACACAAGAGTGCAAGGTAAAATGCCTCAAAAATTCAACAACAAGACGGCATTCACCAAGAATCAAGATCAAATTTAACCAAGCAGTCAAAATTGAGAGACAAGAGTTTACCATGAAACAAGCAATAGAATTCAAAGATTAAGCCCACAAAAGAGATTTCAATAATGACAATCAAAACACGAATTCAAGAGCAGATATAACCAGGATGTCAAGATGTCAAGATCTAGCACCTCAAGTACTAGAATTAATTAACAGAACAAAGCAATGGCTGATATCAAGATGCTTAGAAGATTCATGTCTTCTAATTAAAAGGGCAAACAAAAATCCAAGCAGCCAGATAAAAGAATCATTTCTCTTGCAACAAAACTCTAGGGCATCAAGTATTTCAAGGACTACCCCTTTACCTCGTAGTTCATGGAGGCTAAGCTAAGTAGATTTTCAATCAGGTCATCCTAGAGTCAAGTCAAAGCTAAGGCATCAAGAATACAAAATTTAACACTTGCAAGAGACAAGAATCAGGATGCCTCATATAGAGATTTTGTCACCCTTCTTAAAGAGGTGTCCATATGAACAAAATCAAAAATCAAGAAGATCAAGAAGTATACAAAAACAAGAATGAGCAGAGTATGCAAGATTTGAGCAAGAGCAATATACAGAATTTGAGCAAGAACCAGTATCAGAACAAGAACGTTTTCAAGGACAATTCAAAATAGATTTCAAGAACAGTGCAAGAATCAATTTTAGACAAGTATCAAGATAATGAGGATTTCAATAATCATTATCCATTTCTGGATTTCAGTTTCAAGAACAAGTACAAAGCAATATCAAGATTCAAGATGGATTTCAAGAGTTTCAAGCAATTTCCAAGTATCAAGAATATAGAGATTGGCAATCATAGAGAGTTTAACTTATGACAACTTGCCAACCTTCACAAATACAAGGCAATTTCAATTGAATGATCACTGCTCTTGACTAACCAATATAGAAAAATGAGCCACATGAAAAGACCATGAAGCTCCAAGTGGAAAAAGTGAAACTTCACTATAAGACTTTCAGAAGATAAAGAGCAACGGAATTACCAAGTTATCCAGCTCCTAAAACGCATAAAAAAAAAACACACAACATTTGCTAAAATAGCCTGGAATCTCTTACAAGTAGAGGGTTGCCCATCTTCCACTGGTCATGTGACAAACAGAGCAAATTCTCAACCAGCTATGTGGTAGAGACCAACAAGATCAGTAGCAAAAAAAATCTCTGCAACTCCCCAGATTTTACAATAATGGCAAAAGAGCATACAAAATTCTATTCACACAACAAGTCTAAACAAGTGCGGACTATCAGAAAATGACCAAGTTTCAAAACAAGGTCTTCAGGACATAACGGGCAAGATTACTTTCACAACTTCACACAGAGTATGAACGCAAGAAACAAGAACAATCAGATCACCATCTCATCGAAATGGATGAGAAAATTCAGGCAACATGAATCAGAATTGTCCCTTATATAACCCCATCACTTGTCTCACCACAGTTCTAAAATCCATTGGCTAGCCAAGTCCAAAACAAATCCTAGATATTCAATTAAACCAAAGGCTCGGATATCACTCAATCTGCTCTGATGCCACTCAATCTGAAGGTGCTTAGTTTAATCTTAAGCTCTTAATTTCAACTTATGCTCTGATACAACTTTATCTGTCACGCCCCAAAACCCAAATTCGAGGCGCGACAAACGCCGTGCACTCGTGAGACAGGTCCCACAAATGCACAAGGCTCGAAACTTATCAAATTACACTCTGATACCACCAAAATCTAAAGATCAAATTATAAAATTCTCTCTGATATCATAAAATCTCCAAATACAAGATCATGATTTATTTCTAAAATTTCATATCCAATTACAATGGCTAGCTTTCTAACTCGTCACTTCCCGTGATTTCCCCGTCCTCAGTTTCACTTC